ACATTTTGCAAACTTTCGTTTGCAAGGTCATGTACAATAGGTTCTTCTTCCTTCTCTCTCCTAACTTTCTTTCTAAACTCTTCACCAAATATACCATCTCTATGGTTCTGTGTAGTTCTTTGAGATAAATGTTCTAGAACGTCAGGTGTTATATTTCCATCAGCCATGTTCATTTCATACTGGTCCAAAATATCTGCATCTTTCATATCTTTCATGGCATTAAAGCCGCGCTGAAAATACCAGCTATATCTGGTTCACCATTCACTTCCATTGCGTCTACAACTTCTTGGAATTGTGGTTGTAAGTTTATGAACCACCTATCCGGATTAGCTTTATTGACCCCATCTCATTGTAGTTCATAGTCTGCAGAAACAAAAGTAGGTTTGTTTCCATATTGGTTAGGTTCTGAATGAACTTTAAACAATGTTTCATTTCTATATGTTTTGTTGAAATTTAACCTTTTATTTTCACCGAGTTCAGCAAAGATTGAACGTTATATGGTCGTAAGTAAAAAGGATTATTTGTATTTGCGTACATTATCTTTCAGTACTTCCATTCTATGCTGAATATTTTCATCTGATGTTGGAGTCTTTTGTATTGTCGGTAAACATTTTGCGATATTCTTCTACTATGTCAGCCGAATTTTTCTTAGACTCTTGGAAAGATTCCATTCTCCGCATACACTTGTTGAGGGTCAAGATTTTCGGCTGTTCCAAATCTTCATCTAGTTCTGTGAAGTTAGTTTCCAAAGGAGGGATTTGTTCGTTTCCTTCAGGCTCTTCTAGCTGTTGTTGCTGAACTATTTCTTCCATGTCTGGTTGTATCTGAACTTCTTCCTGTGGAGTTTCTTGTACCTCATCTGGTGGCATTTCATAATTTCCGAGACCGTTTTAACAAGTTCCCTATCTAAGTCATTCGGACTCATAAACCTTTCTTCTTTCGTTCCGTCTCTATTTTTTACGCGTTTCATGAAGAGAGTTGAATTATCATTTAGCTCTGACACCAAATATCTCGGAGTAATTCATTCATGTCATTTAGATGATATGCTATTAAAATCATATCCCTTAGCGAGCTTGTATTTTCCAGGTTTGAGATTATATCCATTTGATGCTGACCATAAAGCTAAATAGGTTCGGGTCAGTATTTCCTTCCTTGAACTTTCTAATAGCTTCTTTATATCTGTCACATAAAAGTCAAGAGTATCTGGGTAACCATAATCTTCCTTTAAGCATTTTTAAGAATTCTTGGTTTCCTTTTTCTCTACTTCTTTTATGTCCTTGCTCTGTTTGTGGTTGTTGTTGTGCAGGGTTTTGAACTGTTGGTTGCTGTGCTGGTTGTGGAGGTGGTTGTTGTGCTGGTTTTGGTTGTGGTGCTGGATTTGAACTGTTTGGTTGCTGTGCAGGGTTTTTGAAACTGTTGGTTGCTGTGCTGGATTTTGAACTGTTGGTTGCTGTGCAGGGTTTTGAACTGTTGGTTTTGGTTTGTTGTGGTGCTGGATTTTGAACTGGTTGTTTGTGTTGGTTTTGGTGCATGCCTGTGTCTGTGTCCATGTGACGATGTAAATGTTTTAGGTAGTCCTGGTGCAGGTGCTTCTCTTGGAGGGTTTGGTGGTATATAAGTTCCACCAGCTGGCACATATGTTCCATCTGCAGCATAATGTCCTACCTGACTTTTCGTTCTTAGAAAGCATTTACTAGGTCTGTTTTGGTCTGTTGTAACTCTTTTCTTGACTTTCCACAACAGTTGCTCTAACGGCGTCATAGGCACTTTTGAACTGCCTGTCTCGTTGCTGCATCTGTTATTTTCGTCATATTTTGTGCTACTTCTCTTAACTCTTTTGTCGAAACCTTCAGACTTCAGTTTCTTTCCAGATGAGAAGTCGTTCACTAGTTTCACCTTACTATGAAGAGCTTCGAAGGCATTCTAAAGTCAGCATTCATTAAAGCTTCATTTGAACTGTCTTCATCCGCTTGTATTTTTGTCTTATTGACCCTATAAGTTGGGCTGCTTTAGCGTTGGCTTGGGCATCTAACCAGTCATTATTAACTTTATATATTCTGCGCTTTTCATTGCCTTTTGCATGGCTGCGTCGTTATTTTTACTTTCTTGTGCTAAGTTTTCATACTGTACGGTTTGGTTTTGCAACTGTAAAAGTTTTTCTGCCTTTACATTTGCTTCAACTTCTTTTTTATACTCATCGCTATCCATATATGTCTTCATGGCTTTTGTTTTATCTCTTCATCTTTCAGTACTTTATATTGAGTAGTATGGTTTTTCAAATTTATAACATCTTGTTCCATTTTTGCTACTTCTGCTGCTTTTTCTGACACTTTTTTCGCATATTCCTCTGTACTTAGTTCTTTCAGTTTTTCTTCTTTCTTCTTTTCTCTACGTTTAACTCATTGAGTTTCTTTGTGTGTCTGTCATATTCTAGTTTCTTTTCGTTTTCACTTATTTGTTTCTGTATGTCTATGTTTGACTTTTTGACATCTGTTATTTGATTTTTGAGTGAACTCAAATTCATTTGACTTTGAGGGTTATAAGCTGTTCCGTCTGCAGCTCCACCATAGCCTGCCATTTTCGCTAAAAGTGCCGCTCTTAAACCTCCACTCTGTGCACCAATAACTCGGTTTAAAAGCATAGGGTTGCTTGACATTTGTTGCAACATAGTGGGGTCATTCATCATTTGTTGTTGCAATTGTTGTTGTGGTGTCAGTTTTACTATTGGATGTTTCAATGCTCCTTCCTCTTACGTATATTCTTACGTAGCTTACGTGGCTTTTAAGTGAAGTTAAAAAGCGGTTTTGACAGATGTTTATATGACACTTTTTGTTCAGCACAAAAAACTACTCGGTCAAAGTGTTGTCAGTTTTGTAAAATAACCGTCCTATCTCATTCTATAAGGGGAAAAAGGCTTCTCAAAGTATACTTCCTTGGAACGCCTGTAACTTTTCCTGTAGCGACGATAGACCATTATTTGTCCGGACAAAGTTATACTATTTTGAGTGCTCTACAAAAAAGTCAACGGCGACGACTCTCAAAAACCGTTGTGTAAAAAGTTTTACCGTTGGACAAAAAAGTATATATAGAAAACAAAAAACGTTTATAGTTCATTCAATATTTGAGATGGAACGGTTTGCCAACGGTAACTATTAAATAAAATAAAAAAATAGACGGGGTTACCGTTGACGAAAACGGTTCATCTCAAACTTTTCTATGAGTGGTCCGAAAAAAACAGTTCATTTTTCATAATGGAAGGAAGAACAAGTGTCGCAAACAATTCGTCGACTACCTCTGCAGTTAAAGTTCCTACAACTTATGTCTCACCATTCTCAAAACCCTTACGACCTCCTATAATACCAAAGCAACCTCCTCATACAATTCAAGACAAATTGTCCAACAATTTGAGTTCTTCTTCTTCTCAAAACACAACAGAAACATCTGAAACAGATGTCCAAACAGCACCAGAACAAGTTTCACATAGTTTTACAATTCAAGACAAATTGTCCAACAATTTGAGTTCTTCTTCTTCTCAAAACACAACAGAAACATCTGAAACAGATGTACAACCAATAGAACAAGATATAGTCTCTCAAACTACAAGTATGTTAACAAGAGCACAATTTCAAGATTTAATTTCTCTTGAACAATATTCGAGTAACGAAATACAAAGCGACGACTGTAACCTCTCGCTACCCGAATCCATTCAAAGAAAATACGCCATGAAAAGACTGAAATTGTTGTATAAACTTCTTAACAATTGGGGGGTCGAAGACAACACAGATTATAGTGAAATGTTTAACAAAGTCATAGAATCTCTTAAACCAATTGAAAACGACATAAAAAATCCCGGTGTTCTTGTAGACCTTTTCGCCTCAAAATTACCAGTTACAACTAATCTAATAGCAACACAAGCTATAGAGCAATTTATTTTATGTTTTCCCAAGCAATATAGACAACACCTGAGGGAAACAAGAATAGGAAAATTTCAATTGGTGTATCCTACAACATACAACTATTACGAAGAAGCAAATGAATATGGAGAACTCTCATTCCATTTCACACTTTCAGTTCCTGAGGGAGAAGAAAAAGCAATCTATCATGTACAATCTCTTGCAGGATGTGAAGGAAAACCTCACATAATAACTACTGTTGCAATTGACAAACCTGCAAGAGTCGAAGACGATGTTTTGTTCGCGTCCATTGCTGGTTTTGGCATGGGAGAACCAATTCCAATTTCCCATTTCACAGAATACTCAGCACAACATTTTCAAAATGTAGAATTCGTGTTCTACGACCATCAAAAGTTCCTGCTAACAAAACCAAAGAAACAATTTGTCTCAATATTTGTTGCTGGTCATGTGGCTGACAAAGAGCCATCAGATACTGACTATGAAGAAGAGGAGGAGGAAGAAGAAAACGATAGCGATGTCGTTCTTATCGAATAAAAACTTTAATTTTTTACTATATAATTTTTTTAGTTCTCCTCTAGGTTTTTTTAGGGGCTAGAGGGCACGAAGTGCCTGGAAGCCCCACTCACCTGACCTGGATTATTAACATAATCTGAACTTACTTAAATTTTGGTGTAATTTCCATAATTTTATAATTTATGCCAAAACCGTTATTTTTGAGAGAACTAATAATTTAGTTTGTTAAAATTTCACGTGTAAATTGATTGAAATAGAATTCTAATCATTCTTCCCAAAATTGAGTTAAACTCAATTTTGGGAAGAATGATGTTAATTTATGTCAAACAGAAATCTTTGATAAGATTTTTCATATAATTGTTTGTATATTATTATTACAATATTATTTAATTCATGTTGTAAATTGAATACAAAATCTTTGACAGAATTTAAAAGTATTTTTATCGATTATTCGGTGTATTTCTAAATATCATTTTTGATGGTTTGGTTTACATCTATTTCAATTTTTTGATTTTCTTTCAAAATTGTACATTCTTTTCAATCTCAGTGGTTTTTCTGAATTTATTTAAAATAATGTTTTTCTTTATTTATGGGAGAAGAGAGTCTCTTCGTTTCTCAGGCCCATCAACTGATGTATGGACAACATTCTATACTGAAACGAGCACATATACATATGTTAATACAAGTGGAAGCCTTTCTGGACAAAATACAAATTATTTTGTTGAATCTGTTTTATTCGATAACTTCATTGACGCTAGCATCATTGACTTGACTTCATACGTAACCACAACAAAAACTCATATTGCAACTTCTTCATTTATAAAATGTTCTAACTCCCAAAACGGTAGATGTATAACTTTTGGTTCATCAGGAAATTTTGTTCAGTATAGACTCTGTGGTTTTGCAATTTCTTCATTAGCTGAAAAAGGAGTTTATTCATATGTTTGTCAGGATTCTAGAGCTGTTACAAAAAATTATATTGTAGAATCATCGCTCACTAAAATCTCTGGTGAAGGAATAGGCATTTTATATCATGATTATGGTGCAATTCGAGCTTTATCTAGCAATATATCTGATTCTAATATAGGAGGCTCTGCAAATTATGTACTTTCTAATCCATATAGATCCGATACAGCGTTGGTCGGCTGGTGCCAATTCAAAAATAATGCCGCACAAATTATGTGTTGTTTTGAACATCAAAATAATTTCCATCGTCTTTCATTATGCAATGTTCTTGATAATACAATTCGAGCTGATAAATTAATTTTATCGCAAGCTACAAGTCTGAATATAAACCAATGCTATTTTAAAGGAAATAGGGCGACTAAATTTATATTATATGGGGAAAGTTTATTCAAATTACAAGAATCTCATTTTGAAGATAATACATTTTATTTAAATGCAAGGAATGAAAACTCACTCCAAATGACTCAAATTATTTTTCCGTCTACCTATTCTTCTTGTATAAATCTATTTGAACGTCTAAGGCTACCAGATAAAACTAAAGCTGTAGATAACCCAAGAAATTCAATCATCCGAATTTATTCAGTTTATTTATTTTTCTGAATTTATTTCAGTTAACTGAAACATTTTATTGTTCTTTTGTAAATGATTTATTTTTACCATCAGATGAATAGTTAAAAAAAAGATTTTAAATCAAAAACGTAAAATAAACCGTGCCTCATATATCTAGAGAGTTGTACGGGCTTTGATAACGCGAAATTCGAGGTTCAAACGCTTGAGAATATGCAGCTTTGATTGTTACTTTGCTGAAGAAGTAACACTGCCACCACAGCTACTTTTTCCTTTCAAGACGATGTTGAATGCCTCAAGAAGAGCCTGGTCTTCGATGCCGGATCCCTTCTGTGTGTTTTGGCAAACACCAGCGAGAGAATCCATGATTCCAATGACGGTTTTTTCTGGTTCGTCTACGCCGGCGAGGATCTTCTTGATGTCAGCAGAGATCTTAGCGAGCTGCTGTGTGACGTTCTCCCCGAGATCTGCGTACTTGTTGGAATTGGCTGATGGATGTTCCTTGGTGTGGAACATGATCTTGATTGTACCCTTGGAAAGGGCTGATCTGAGAGAAAGAACTTGGAGAGCCCATTCTCTGGACATTGATGATGTACGCTCCTGGGCGGCCTGGAGTTGGGAGTCGACCTTGGAAGCGACTGTCATGAGTGGCTTGAGGGCAGCACGGAGACGCTTTGTGACGGCATCGTTCATGGCTTCTTCGCGATGAGCGATTTCGACGGCTTCGTTGACTACCTTGATGGCTGTGGATAACTCGTTCTCGAGGGATCGCTTGGCCTCTGCGGATATGTGGGCCCAGTCTTCTCTGAGGAGGAATCTGTTCCTGAGGATTGTGAGGATGGACTTGAATGAGTTGACGATGTTGGAAACGCCAGTTGTGAGCATATTCTGGTTGGAATGTGTTGTCATCGTGGCAGATGCGCGGAGAATCTGTTCGACAGCAGCCTTCATTGCCTTCGCGTAGTTGACCATTGCAGTAGCTGTCTTCTTGTTGTCCTTGGCTGCAGCTGCTGTGAAGAAGGCCTTCTCCTGGTCGATTGCGGCGTTGCCAAGCTTGCCGAGCTGCTGGATCTGCTCTACAAGTGTGGCGTTGATGTCGGATGGAACTGGAAGCACTGTGAAGTGCTGTATCTAAGAACAAAGAACTAAAAAAAAATAAAAATAAAAAATTTAATCGCGAAATTTGATAAAAGTTTATCAACTATTTAAGGGTGCAGACGAGAGGATCATGTAAACTTCAGAATTTAGAACCTTATTTTTAGGCATTATCTTGGCTACCTATTTAGGCTCGAAAAGCAAAAAATATCAAAAAATACAACTTGACTCCATTATGACCCTTTCATGGAGGTAGTTTTTATCCGCTAGTATTTTCCCTTTGAATCTCTTTACAATTCGAAATCAAATTCAAATCTCAGTAGAAGAAAGGAAGAATCGACTTACTACGGTTGTAATACGAATAAATACATATATTTAATTATTTTTATTTACATAATAATTGTTTGAAGCTCATATTCCATCAAATTTTTAAATAAAAACATTAAAATGTTGAAAATGTTCATATATTTTAATAGGGTTTTGGCACTTTATTGAGGAATTACTACATACATAGTCGAACTGAACTTGATATTTTGAAATTTAAATTATTTATCAAAATTAAAATTTAACTTGAAATGTATAATTATTTTAAGGGTTTCGTTTTGCTAAAATTGTCACTTTTATAGCATATTTGTTTTTGGATGTTTTGCGAAACCAAAAAAAAAAACTATGATATACAATGTGTGTGTAAAGAAAATACTTTATTTACTAGTTAAAAAATCATTTGGTATTGATCAAGTTATTTTTTCTGGATAAGATATTATATGGATAATTGGATAGAAAATACATTATATTAATCTTGTAACCTGGTTT